CTCTCTCTCTCTCTCTCTCTCTCTCTCTCTCTCTCTCTTTATTTGTTACTCTGGTTTTGTGTAAGTGATAAGGAAAATGTTTCCTCTTTAGGTAAAAAACGAGACAAGAGTGATGTGGTATACATTATAAGCACCAATGGCGAGTAGGGTAATCGTTGTTTTGACTTCCATCTGATTCATATGTGAGACCTGCTAACAAAATGAGTCACTTCTCGCAAACCACAAATGGAGATATTGGCCAAAAATCGACTCTAGGGTCAAATTTTCTATTGATGCCATATTCTTCAAGTATAACGTGCTTTTTATTATTTCATACTTCTAAACTGTAAAAACTTCACCTATAATAAGAGTGATGTATCTGTTTCAATAAGGCTTGAATCCGAGAAGCAACTCATTTTGTCAGCACCCTTCACTTATCTCATGCTGGGTAAGGGCAAGCTTGTCCAAATCGCGGGCTGGGTTAGATCGAAGTGATTCCGTATATCTCGCGGGCCAAAGCAAGAAACAGTTGGGTCATTTGTTTGTTTTAGTAAGCGTATTACGACACTTGCTACACAAGTAGATTATGTAAGTGCCGAATATTAAAAATGTTACAAAGAGTGACAAACACATAAAAGAAAAAGAGGATATAGGGTGCACAGATTTTTTTTCATAAGAAAGAAGGAGCAAACCACACCGGAACACCCTCCAAGCACCGAAGAATTGAGTGAAATTGTTTGGAATACTCAAGTGCTAAAAAAAATATACATTTTATATATACATATATACATGTATATGTACAAAAGAAAAACCACCCAACCAAAACTGACTCTTTAACAAGATACGTCATTCAAAAGAATTTCGTGAGATAAAATATTATATCAGTTACCTCCAGTTGGATGGAACGAAAACATGGGTTTTAATTTTCAAGACGAGGTGTTCATTAATTATCTCTACTTACCTTGGGCTACATTCAGTATTAATTACTTGGTCGATTCACAGCCCAGACTAAAATTGCTCACTGAATATCTAGGTCTTTCTGCTGTGATGTCGTATCCCTTTCAGCCCGGGTCTGTCTGCTGGGGTGTTGTATCCCTCTCAGCCCGGGTCTGTCTGCTGGGGTGTTGTATCCCTCTCAGCCCGGGTCTGTCTGCTGGGGTGTTGTATCCCTCTCAGCCCAGGTCTGTCTGCTGGATGTTGTATCCCTCTCAACCCGTGTCTTTCTTCTTAGATGTTGTATCCCTCTCAGCCCGGGTCTGTGTGGTGGGATGTCGCATCCCTCTCAGCCTAGGCTTTCTCAGAAAGCCTAGCTCTCAGCCCGTGCCTGTCTGCTGGGATGTTGTGTCCCTCTCATCCCGGGTCTGTCTGCTAGGATGTTGTATTCCTCTCAACCCGGGTCTGTCTGCTGGGATGTTGTATTCCTCTCAGCCCAGGTCTATCTGCTGGGGTATTGCATCCCTCTCAGCCCAGGTATATCTGCTGGGGTGTTGTATCCCTCTCAGCCCAGGTCTGTCTGCTGGGATGTTGTATCCCTCTCAGCCCGGATCTGTCTGCTGGGGTGTTGTATCTCTCTCAGCCCGGGTCTGTCTGCTGGGATGTTGTATCCCTCTCAGCCCGGGTTTGTGTGCTGGGATGTTGTCTGGGATGTTGTACCACGCTCGGGTTGGCCCTGACGGACAGGGTCGGAAGCCCGCTTCCTAAATGATCTAAACTGTAGGCCTACCGATGGGACGTATAAACACGTACCGTTCATTTAAAATCCATATTTTATAGACTCAATATTTTTTGTTACCTGAATTCTATTATTATTAGTGGCAGCGATATTTACCACAATCTCAAATGTCATACAAATAAACGTCATACGATCCTTTCGCCTTTACCTGTTTGTATTTGGGAGAGACTGCCTCCTGGCAGACCCAGAGCTGTAGAGCAGCCATCAGAGAGGGCAGGAGATCGTACGAGGCTTCACAATAAATGAGAAATACTGTGGCCAAGACAGAAGCCTCCACGGGTGGAAATAAAGATTTTTAGATGCTCATGGAATGTCCCTCCTACATGCCACTCGCTTTGCTGCAGACAAACGTCTGTGTCTCCCCGCGACACCCACCGGTACAAGAGGAAGAAAAAAGTAAAAGTAAGTAAGATGCTCAAAATGTGGCAAACACCTCTGTATCAGAATTGATCTCATTGGCCCTATTAGAAGAAGCCACAAGCCATCTTAATCCTAATTTCTTCTATTTCGCTTTAAAAAGATTATTCTCCTCTCCATGTACATTGGTCGTCATCAGACACTGACTGACCAACTATAATTATCATTACCTTTCTGTGTGGGAGCTGACACCGGTGACATTATCGGTATTTCGTAGTAGTGATCATCGTCGTCGTTGTCGTTGTTGTAGATGTTGTTGTTGCTGTTGTTGTTGCTGTTGTTACGTCTCCGGCCCCCGTCTGTCCGTGGAGCGTCAACTGTAATTGTTTTCGCCCTGGTGGTTTGTCCAGTCGGGGCGGGGGTGTTGGGTAACGGTCTGTTGCCCATTTCCACGTTTACGCAGGGGTTTTCTTCTGAACAGCATGTGGTGAGAGATGAGATAAAAATAGCCGATAATAACAACAACGACAACAAAAAAAAACCTGCGGGGAGCTGTGTTTAACATTCTTTAGAAGAGAAATTTGAAAGGCAAGGAGAACAATTTTTTTTATGTTTGGCATTGTTTGGTGTAAAGAGTTTGCTTTTCTTGTTTACAATTAATTTACAGTCTGGGGAAAGAGACGGGAATAAGTAATCTAGGCAAGAGTAACAAGAATCTGAACTGAACTAGCTCAAAAGCTTGTTTACTTTCGACTGACCGTGATTTAAACCAGATGTGGGTGGTTGACGGGTGCTCTGGTGTGGTTTGCTCCTTCTTTCCTATCAAACATCTATGGTCTTTATCTCCCCTCCTTCTTTTTTGTGTTTG